GTTCCGTACTCTCTCCTTGTTGATCGTCGGGAGACGATCATTAAGGACAGCTCCTGTCATGATCTGTGTTTATTTTCTTAGTTTTCTAGTGTTTTCAGTGTTCCCCAGTGTGTCACAGCTCAGCTGCTCCCTGTCTGTCACCCTCGTGTTTCTCACCAGGTGTTTTCAGTTCATCAATTAGTAGTCTGTGTATTTAAACCCTGTCCTGTCTCAGTCTGGCGTCGGATCATTTTGTTTGTTTGTTCTGTTGTGTTTCTCGTGTTGGTTCTGGTTCCTCGTGCTTTGTTCCCTCGTGCCTGTGATTCTTCAATATTTGTAAGTTTGCTGCCAGCAGCCCTCCTTTTGTTATTTAAAAATAAATTTTTGTTATATTTTTGAGCCTGCCTGCGCCCTGGGTTTGTTCCTGCCGGAACCCTCACAGCTCCGTTCATTTTCAACGGCAAAAAAGTGGCTAAAAATGTGAAATAGCTAAAAAAAAAGTATAAAAAGCTGAAATACCAAAAGTCATAGCACCCCTCACATAAATGAGCTGAACGTTTTGATTTATGAACTGCTGAAATAGCACAGTTTTGGAAGGAGTTAGATGCCGGAAAACACACAGAAGAAAAAATAATCTCAACAGCGTGAACGCTGTGAAGCTTTCACTCAATCAAGCTGATAAATCAGGATCTTTTATTCTTAAAAATAAGCAAACACAACTATTTTTAACTGCTGGCTCAGTAAATAACTTTTTATTCTTCTGGTTTCTGCTGCGGCACAAATACTTCCTCTGTCCTTATCTGGCTCCTGTGAGCTGCGGCGGAGCGACAGGAAGTAAGTGGACAGGTGGAGGCAGAGATAAGGAGGGAGAGAAATCTCCAATAAACTCTGGGTTTATAAGAAAAATAAGTTATTTACTCCTCCTTTTGTTATTTAAGTCTTTCATGTCACAAACTGCACAGTGACTGAAGGAATGAGACGTTTCCTTTTTCACACAGTTACATCAGTCAGATGTGAAGTCACTGAGTGACTCAGCTGCAGCTCAGAAAAAAAAAACTAATCAATAATGTTCCAAACAGACAGGATTCATTTAGACAAAGTAAAGTAAGATTTTAAACAGTTTAAAATTTAATTAAACCCCACCTCTTTGAGATGAAACCAGGATGAGATTTATTTGTTTGTCTTTGTTCTGAACATGTTTATTTCCCCGTCAGCGGAGCGGCTCTGAGTCTGACCTGTTTGGCGATAGCTTTGCTGTCCAGTTTGTTGTAGACTTTCCTGATTTTGGCGACGGTGAGCGTGGAGACGGACAGCGCGTAGAGGCTGAAAGACACTTTCTCCTCCGGTACCAACGCCACCGGAGAAGCCGGAGCAACTTCTGTCTTTGCATCTTTACCTGACGGCGAGAGAGAGGAGAAATGAAGCAGGTAAAACCACACACATGTTCAGAGCGTGGGAGGACCGGAGCCGCTCACAAGGCAGGTAGACGGCCTGAAAGCTGCCCACGTAGTTGGGTCCCAGTTCAAAGATGGCGGCCACGCTGGGGGCGGGTAGGACCTCCTCCAGGAAGTGGCTGGGGCCCAGACGCCACACCAGGCTGGAGAGCTGGCGCTGGGCGGGCGGCGTCCCCACGTACCCGTACACGGTGCTCACCACGGGGGGGTTGGTGGAGCCGGAGCCCCCCGGAGTGCTGTGGATGTAGTGGAGCTGGAGGAGAGGAGAAGCATGAGGTGAGGGTTAAAACTTCTGCAGAAATAAACACAAACACATCAGAACATGACAACGTCTCTTTAAAAGGGATCCCTGATTAGGTGTAACATTAGACTTTATTTGATAAACATATATTTTAACTGAAAAATAAAGACTGTAAAAATACTGTAGGCTGTTTAGTTTTTATAATTTTTAAAAATATACTTTAACACAGACAGAGCCATTTTATGTACCGTATTTTTCGGACTATAAGCCGCGACTTTTTCCCTGAACTTTGAACCATGCGGCTTATAGTCCGGTGCGGCTTGTACGTGGATTTTTTTCTTCAGCCACCAGGGGGCTCTTATGCTCCATTTGCTTCAACCACTCGCTTCAAAAAAAGAAAGGAAAAAAAGAAAAGAAAAAGGCAATCCTTCCAGAGCCAACTGTTGACCAGGAAGCAGCATTTAAAGATAGTCAATGGCCAAAAACTCATAAA